AAGAACATTTGGTCAACTTGGCAATTGTGATAATAAAGTTTACAACTTCTTAATTTATCAAGCTAAATTTTTACACCAACTTGATAAATGAGACTTATATTCCATTCTTTAACCAGAGAGGAGGTATGTAGAGCAGAGGTCCTGCGAAGGTAGAACTAACTTTTGATGATAAAAATTGAACGGAGATCTAATATATATAAAAAATGTTACATATTACATAACAAAGGATAAAACGTTTTTTGAATTAACTACATAAACATACAAAATCATATCCAACAAACATACCAGTTGCTCTGATCACAAATTAAAATAGTTAGCTATACATTTGATGCTAGACTTTTATTCCATTCTTTAACCTGAGCAAAGGCATTGCATAGATATAATAAACTTTTGAAAATAGGAACAGAATGGGCATCTACCTAATATATAAAATCATTGTAATAAAAAATTATTATTATTTTGAACAAACATTACAGGCATTAAAACAGAATAGAATTCTCTTATTTGTAAATTAAGGATCTTATATAATTTATCTTAGATGTAAAAAGTTTATTTTTTTTTTTAACTTTTCAAACATTTAAACTAAATTTGATGACCACAAACAAGACAAAGACCTTGTCTATAAAATGAATTTTCGCCACGCTCTGAACACACAACACACTTTCTCACCTTAGAGGCTTGAAGCTTCCTATCAGCTTTGCTGTGCAATTCAAAGCGTTTTAAAACAAGATGCAGCTTTTGCTCCTGATTTCTAACTGAATGCAACTGCCTTAATTCCTTATTTACGCTATTATGCAAACACTCTCCCTCCTCTTCACTCAGCAACCCAATAGTTTTATGCAATTTTACAAATAGTGGCACATTGAAAATGAGTTCATGCATTTTTCGCGTGATACTTTCTTTTGGAAAGCAAGCATGAAACTCAATAGCAAATAAATTTATATATTGATGAAGCTCAGAAATTTCGGCATCAGAAAGAAATTTTCGCTTAAAAAGAATAGGTTGCAAGTTATTAAAAACACTAAACACACGTACAAATCTATTTTTAATTGCTTCATCATCAATAACACTACAAAGTTTATAGTGGTTTCTTAATACTATTTTACAATGATTACCTACAAATACATTACCATGGTAAGCTTGTCGCTCAACTTTCATATCTTCAAGGGCCTTATAAAGAGACCTCTCATGAGTCCCCATGCTACTTATAGATATTTTTTCTAGGTCTTCACACTCTATCTGCAATCGAATATACTCAACGTCTAAAACTTCGCGCTGTGCGCGTATAAAAGAAATTTTTTCAGAAATATAAAGGTCAAGACATTCTAAATCTTCACCCTGACATGCTAAACACTCATACTTCTCTATATCACACAATACATTCTTTTCCGAACCACCAATAATTTCACAAAATTGATGGAACAATTTTTGGCACGTACCACACTGCACCCAATCAATGTTACAATCATATTTAGTAATTAAACACCTGATACTAGCACACTTTTCTTGCTGTTTACAGGTTTTTTTTTTATTGGAGGAGTTTAGAGATATGCATTCCAATTCAGAAATATTTTTATCAAAAGCTAACCAACGAGTCTGTAGATTTGCAACGTCTACAAATTGATTTCCTAATAAACGTAAAGAGTCTGCTGTTTTAGAACATTCAAAGCTTTTAGCAGCCCACAATTCATTCGTTCTCACATTCTCATTATGCGACAAAGACGAAACAGCTTGACAATCCAAAATCTTACACTCCTTCAACAATAACTTATAAAGTTTTAACACAACTCCTAACATAATATGCAAAACAGGTGGCACTACATTATCTAAAGTTATTATGGGGAAAATCACAGGAGCAATAATTGAATTATGAAACTTACCTAGAGCTCTTAGGTTTCCACCTTGTCTATCTTCACACAAGTTCTCATTGTAAGCACTTTCCAGAGATTGTATTGTCCTCCTTAAGATGTTACAATTAGCAGGTGTGTGAGGCATAGAAGCATGGTTTCTTAGAGAATTCAACTTAACTAGGTCTGTAGAACTAGGAAAGCTAGCAGCTGAACCCTGGTGTCCCAGAACATCATCGATAAAATGAAAATCTCCACCTAAGAACAACCTGACTATTTTGCCTTTTAGCTTAAAATCTGACGACTGAATTCTTTTAATGTCGTTGGCATAATGCCCGAGAACTAAGGCAATATTCTCACGACAGTCTGAACCCTGATACATACAAAATAAATGAACATCATATACAGACCCTGATGATTTAGAATTGACAACTTCAAAATGGAATTTCATATACTTCCCACCCTTATCCCCAGCAAAAAGGAGCCATACCTCTTCGCAAAAACCGACATCAGAATTGAAGTGGTCACGAACGTGCAGACTATTGAAAACCTCTTCAATATAAGTTATCAAATTCTTGACCATCAATACAGGTACTAAACAAGGTGCTTCATTCGCAGATGGATAAAGCAACATGGACTTTACAGTAACATGTTCTTTACTAACATGCATTGTCCGCATTTCTTGTTCTTGTCTTATCTTGGGCTCAGATGGGAGAATCCTTGCACCAAGATTACACAGAATACGTCTTAGCCTACGGAATTCAGCCGTGGGCATCCTTAATTGGCTCTGCAGCTCTACAGCATCAGAAACACTTAACTGCCTAACTAAACCCAACTTATTTGCAACACAATGAAACATAGACTTTTCACAAGACACAGAATCACAAAACAACATAGACAAATCACTTTCCAAATCTGAACAAGCTAATAATCGAAGGAATATAAAAGCAAGTTTAGATCGTCTAGCTGCAGCATGCCTACCTAACTTAGAATAAGATTTACCATCTCCTAACTTAATGTAAGTATATTTCTTACCAACTATTGGCTTTTTAACTGATATAGTCTGTGGATTACTTAATTTAAACCCACAGAATAATTCAGAGGAACCAATGTTGTCATAGTCTAAATAAGAATCAACGACAACTAAATCCTTATCACTGCTAGCAAAATATTTGCAAATTTGGCAACTGTTCTTGTTTATATCACTGATTTTTGCATTTTTTTTTTCAAATTTAAATTTTTTTAGCAATCTTACATTTTTGGCACGAGCAGATGCAAATTTACGGTGTGCTGTTTTTAATTTTTTTTTTTTAAAAGTTGGAACTGCTCCTCCTGTTTTAGCCTAATACTCATAGTCTCTAATTGAGAACTTAATGAGTTACAATGTGCGTTGAGAGCCTTGTTTTTAGAATTTAAATATATAACTTCAGTTTCCAACTTTGATACCTGTATTTTTAAATTATCTATTTGCTCCACATTATTTTTTTCTTTAGAAATTAATTGTTCAACTTGACTACTTAGTTCCTTATTCCTATTTAAAATATAAAAATTATCTGCATCTGCTGATTTTTTTTGTTTTTTTGTTTGTGGAGCTGGAGACAGTTGCATTTTAAAAAATGCTTCGTTTTTTGAAGCTTCAAAATACTTTTTAGAATCTTTTTTTCTTTGTTTTATTTTTCGGCACATTTTATTTAACACATCAATATTAGGCATATTAAACTCAATTGGCAAAAGAAAACTTAAAAAAGTAAACAACGCTTTTGGATGAAAAACTGTTAATAAAATTGAAATCACATTGTTAGTGATCTTACTAGTGTCAATTACTCGCTTTACAAAATTAAAGTTATACTCATTTTCCCAACCATCTTCCCAACCGATGTACAGTTTCAAAATTTCCCTCTCAGTTGCATACATCACATAAATAATGATAATGATATTATAATAATAATATAATAAAAGAAATTAAATAAAATAATATTTACAAATAAATACACTAAAAATAAAAGAATTAAGCAACTTATCTGAGATTAGTCGAATATCCACGAGGAAATAATCCACGAAACTTTGCTTTATAATCTTTATTGATATAGTAATAAAATTATAATACAAACAACTTAAATAGAATAATATTGACAAATAGATGCACTAGATAAAATCGGATTAATCAACTTATCTGAAATTAGTCAAATATCCAAGAGAAATTAATCCGCGAAACTTTGTTATTTATTCTATAAAATGTGTCTCGTTTGTTTTGTTTGTTTTCTTAAAATGCATCCGATAATCGTTGGGGACGTAACGATCCGAGTTTGCGTCACTGCTTTAAAATGTAAACAAGAATTTATGCAAAAAAAACTAAAAAAAATGTCGCTAAACATGCCAAGTTTGAAAACATATTTGATAACATAGCTAGAGGTACAGAAAATAATTTTTTGATTTTCTTATTCATATAAGGTTGAAGTATTACTAAATCCACAGACTTTTCAAAAATGTTATGTTTTTTATTCAAAACGAATAAAAACAAAAATATAAATGCATTAAAAACTAACTTTCTATATAAAAACTTGCAAAGTCTGTGGAAATCTAGATAGAACAGACATTCATTAATAACTGTTCTAAATTTCAACCATCGACCATGTAGCTATGTTATCAAATCTTAGTTGGCCTAAGACAGGTTTTGCGTAAAAATCGCAAAAATCAGAAAAGTGATGCCAAATTATTAACAATATTTTTACAGCTTTCATTTTTATTCCGTTTAATGTAAATGTTTATTTAACAAGGAAAGATAGATCTTTTATATTTTTTTTATTTGAAGATGAAAGCATTTATAGAAAAAAAATACTATTATTTTAAAGTTAATGAATTTTTATACTTTTTATGCGGAAATACTTTTTTTTTTGATAAACTCGTGACGTCAGGCTCGCTTTTATATTGAGTGAAACAGCCGTGATATGTTCATGTTATTTTTTAAAATACTAATGAAAAAAACACTATTAAGATTAGAGATTCATTTATCTTTTTTTAATTTAAGTTTTTTTTTTTATAAACACTGACACATTCATACATACACACGCATGCACACACATACACACACTCAATATATACAGACATACTCAAGTATTTATGTTTATTATTTTTGTTAATAACATTTTTTAGCTGCGGCTGCTGTTTTTATTGACCCTTGGGAAATGTTTGATCCAGTTGATATCTTGAGTCAAATGCCTAAAGATTTTTATGAGCTAGTTGTAAGATTCTATTTTTTATACTACATTTTGTCTAATTTAATTGCTTTTAAATTCTGATAAAAAATTCTAATCCTTTTTTTCAAGTTTATTAAGTCGTTTAATTTAACTTGTCTGATACAATAACATGATAAAAATAAAAATGATAAGTCTAATCTTTCAAATTATAGGAAAGCAAAAAATGGCAGGAGCGTAAAGAGACATTAGAAGCATTAGAAAAACTAACATCAAATCCCAAACTTGAGGCTGGTCAGTATGGAGAAGTATGTGCTGTTTTAAAAAAGGTATATCATGTTAATAATTTAGTGATTATGATCTACTTTATCAGTTTATTAAATCTTGTCAAAAGTTCTATATTTTCATAGTATTTCATGATAGAAATTTTTTTTTAGGTGATTACAAAAGATAGTAATGTTGTGGTTGTTGCTATTGCAGCAAATTGTGTGACTGGTCTTGCAAAAGGATTAAGAAAAAAATTTCAAACGTATTCAGGACTTTTGATTCCAGCTATTCTTGGAAAATTTAAAGAAAAAAAGTTAAATGTAGTTATTGCATTGAGAGATGCATTAGATGCTGTTTTTGCTACGGTTAGTTAAAGAATATTACTTTTTATTAACTTTCATTTTGATTTCTTATTATTGTGGAGACGTCAATTATATTTTTAGACTAACTTTACTAATATAATGGAGGATCTGCTTGCATCATTGGACAATAAAAACCCACAAATTAAAGAGGAAACTTGCAGATTTATAACAAGAACATGCTCCACTTCTACTGTTGCAGCTTTTCCAAAGAGTGTTTTAAAATTAGTAGCTCCTGCACTAGTTCTTGTATGTATTTTTTTAATATATATATATCTGACCAAAATTATATTGACCAAACTTTGGTAACCATATAATGTGATGTTAAATATATTGTTATTATAGTTAATTGTGCGTGTGTGTATATATATATATATAAATATATATATATATATATATATATATATATATATATATATATATATATATATATATATATATATATATATATATATATATATATATATATATATATATATATATATATATATATATATATATATATATATATATATATATATATATATACACACACACTTACTAAAGCGTATTTTGATAAGCATTTGCTCACTTTTTCTGCTTACCTTAAACTATACCATTTTTTTTGAAAAAGAAGAAGAAAAAACGAAGAATGATGAATAAAACAATTGCTTCCTTATCCCAAACCCTAAGTCGATTTAGCAAGAAATCCACTGCGAGTTGGGCTATTTGTCAGTCGATGTATGTACTGAAGCCCCCAGCAGCAGGCTATTTCAGTATGATGTCAGATTGCTTTCCTTAGTACGCAATACTATTTGTATATATATATATATATGTATATATATGTATGTATATATATATATATATATATATAATATATATATATATATATATATATATATATATATATATATATATATATATATATATATATATAATATATATATATATATATATATATATATATATATATATATATATATATATATATGTATATATACCGTTTTTTTCGTAAAAGAAGAAGAAAAAACGAAGAATGATGAATGAAACAATTGCTTCCTTATCCCAAACCCTCAGTCGATTTAGCAGCACTCCACTGCGAGTTGGGCTATTTGTCCGTCGATGTATGTACTGAAGCCCCCAGCAGTAGGCTATTTCAGTATGATGTCAGATTGCTTACCTTAGTATGCAATACTATTTGTGTATATATATATATATATATATATATATATATATATATATATATATATATATAAATATATATATATATATATGTATGTATATATATATATATATATATATATATATATATATATACCGTTTATATATACATGTATATATATACCGGTATATATATATACCTGTATATATATATACCGGTATATATATATATATATATATATATATATATATATATATACCGTTTTTTTCGAAAAAGAAGAAGAAAAAACAAAGAATGATAAATGAAACAATTGCTTCCTTATCCCAAACCCTCAGTCGATGTAGCAGCACTCCACTGCGAGTCAGGCTATTTGTCAGTCGATGTATGTACTGAAGCCCCCAGCAGCAGGCTATTTCAGCAGCAGGCTATTTATATATATATATATATATATATATATATATATATATATATATATATATATATATATATATATATATATATATATATATATATATATATATATATATATGTATACCGATATATTTATATATATATATATATAAATACATATATATATATATATACCGATATATATATATATATATATATATATATATATATATATATATATATATATATATTTATATATATATATATATATATATATATATATTAGGGTGTTTTTTTTTTTTTTTTTTTGAATTTGATATTGCACACCCTCCTATTTGGTGAGGTTCAATAAAAAAAGTTCACTGATAAATTTTTTTTCCAAACTGATGATGGGAAGTGGTCCCCCACACCTGCTTTGTAAGCCCTTTAGAACCCAGTTTTTGACCAAAATGACATATTTCTAAAATGTGTTAAAATCAATAAGTATCAGTGTTACATGCATCAGTTTCACTGATTAGGGTTAAAAAAATTATAAGAATGTATATAGCAATTACTTATTCCCAGACTCCACCCTAGGAATGCA